TCAGTGGTAGAGTCGCATTGCTTTTAGCCAGTCAGAGGTGAGAAGTTCAAATATCAGGAAACATTGTGGCTTTCACATTTGGCCTGGCACGCTCTGGTCATGGTAGAGTCGGCTCGCCTTCTCACGGCCAGGTTTTGTTCACACTATGATGTCTGTGGTTCACACAGCCTACTCAGGAATATGGATGTCTCCAAGCACGTGGGCGGAGCAAAAGCCACACAGAGAAGTCCGCGTTATTCTCCTTAGGTTGGTAAACAAAGGCGGCCGTGATTAGTGTCGCTTTTGGACTGCCGGCTGCTGGTTGTGGCCCCCTGGAGCGATCCTCTGCGCCTCTACATATATATATATACAGTATATATATATATATATATATATATATATATATATATATATATATATATATATATATATATATGTTTATATATATATATATATATATATATATATGTTTATATGTTTATATGTATATGTTTATATGTATATATGTATATGTATATATGTATATGTATATATATACATACGTATATATATATATATATATATATACATACGTATATATATATATATATATATATATATATATATATATATATAAAATGTAGTTCCTAAATAAATAGCTAAAAAGGCTTTAAAATGTTTTATTGCTTTTTCATTTGGAGTGGACATCAAAGACAAAAGTATTTTCTTTCCTCTTTTATTAAGAAATATTTGTGAGTCATTTAAAATCTGAGTAATATATGTGTAGTTAAAACCCAGTGATGCCTGCATGAGGATGTTGTTGTTGTTTTTTTTTTTTTACTTTGTGACCAAAGCTGTGATTAACAGTCTTGTTTTTGTCTGTTTCTCTGAAGGGTTTCACCTCAGCGGAACAGTTCGGGAACCCGCCACGTCCTCGGAGCCGGAGCTACTGTGCAACGTGAGCGTCAGCTTCGACCGCTGCAAGATCACATCGGTAACATGCAGCTGCGGCAACAAGGACATCTTCTACTGCGCCCACGTCGTGGCGCTGTCGCTGTACCGAGTACGGAAACCTGAGCAGGTCAAACTGCGCCTGCCTATCTCAGAGACTTTATTCCAAATGAACAGAGATCAGCTGCAAAAGTTTGTCCAGTACCTGATCACCGTGCATCACACAGACGTGCTGCCAACGGCACAGAAGCTGGCCGATGAAATACTGTCACAGAACTCAGAGATCAACCAGGTCCACGGTGAGTGGAGGAGCTGATGTTGGTGGTGTCAGGGTGAAATTTATCACGTGTTCCTACATTTCACACCAGAGGAGTCCTCCTGCAGGCTGATGTGCTGGGATATGTAAATGGAACATTAAACAAGCTCATGGCCGCCTTTGTCCTGTTACCAAATGTCAGTAAAGGTCTAGACTTCCACTTCTTTTAGGAGGTGCAGACCATAGGCATGAATACATAGACTCTAATATGCACTGGTGAGCGTAACAGCATCGCTGCCATATTGGATGGGTCTCCTCACTCTCAATGCAGAATGAGCAACTACGCCCATTTTTATACAGCCTACGGTTACAACAACCAGAGTACTATTGAAAACAGATCACGTGGCATTACGAGAGACTTTTCTAGCCTATCGGATAGGATTTTATATTAAACTGTATTTTTATTTATTTTGTTTAATTATATTTGTATTTTATTTATCATGCCATACCTTGTGTCTGATTTAGTGAAAAAGCTTGATACAATTTGGTTTTTAGTTGGGTAAGCCCCTTCCTCAGTAGAAACGAATGCAGTGGGGGCGAATGGAGACCCAGCTAAAATGGCGGCCGGTCACTACGGCAGCTCCAGTAGGCAGCGCCAGTCCACGAGGCGTCTACGTACATATGTCTGTGGTGCAGACTATCCTCTTCCATGTCACAAAGGAAATTCTTGGTCGTGGCCCCGCCCACTTTAGCTTATAGAAGGCTGTTGTTGAGTCAGTTTTCAGGAGAGAGCAAAGCACGTCTCAGCAAACAGATGCTAACCATTAGCATTAGCAACTCCACAACACGGTGGAACATGTTCAGGCTTATGTTCTTGTGGAGACAAACATCCCAAAGTTATTTTTACCAAAGAAAGAAGAGCGGCAGAAGAGTTGCGTTGCGGTTAGCCAATCAGAGACTAGATTTTTACATATCATGAATATTAATGAGTACATTTCCACTTCCTGTTGCCTCTCCCCTCATTGACAAACGTCTACCTCCCCAAACAGGAGCATCAGAAAAAAAGACCCACAAGACATTCAGTCATTCTAGATGGTAAATGCCCTCTAGGGTTCTACAACCCCCCAAGACGCTTCACAACACAATCAGTCATTCACCCATTCACACACACATTCACATACTGGTGGAGATGAGCTACGATGTAGCCACAGCTGCCCTGGGACGCTCTGACAGAGGCGAGGCTGCCGAACACAGGCACCACCGGTCCCTCCGACCACCACCAGCAGTCTACGTGCTCAAGAGCAGCAGTCTCTGGTGGGAGCCAGGATTGAACCTGCAACCTTCCGATTACTGGACAACCTGCTCCACCTCCTGAGCTGCTGCTGTCCTAGAGACCAAAACAGATTAAAATATTTGTGAATGAGACCTTTAACCCTAAGTGCCCTAAGCCTCTTTTTCAATGTTCTGCTCTAAAAAGACTTGCCTGTAATTAAAAGAGTATATTTCTGTAACCACAAGGCCTATTTGACTACTTTAGGTCAGTCATCCCTGGTGGGATTAATTAAGATGTGTAAACATCAGTGTGTGTGTTATATATTAGTTATAACTCAACATGGCACATTGGAAAAACTTTATTTTTCCTTGTCTGCCTGGGAAAAGAGAATATATTTCAGCATGAATCTTTTTGGAAAAATGCAGATGCAGCTTTAAACCTCATGGAAATTGTAGCTAGAGATCTTAACATCATCCGTACAACGTCTGATGAAGTGAAGAAGAACAATTGGACAAAAGTTTTGATTTAGACACTTCAGGTGAGGTCTCCAAAACGCCACACAGTGGCACAGATTGTGCCCCGCGGTGCCATCTGACTGCTTTCCTGTAGAATATTATATTTTTTACATATTATTTGACTAGTTACATTTAATATATTTAAGCACAACGGTTTTTATGAAGAATGATTATATGATTTGGGACATTTGGACATTTTTTCAAGCCAAGCATAAAGACAAAACTTCACACTGGATCTAATCCTGAAGTTTCGTTATGCAGTCTTGAATGTCTGTGCCTGATTGGTCAGTTCAGAAGATTGACACCTCTTTTGAACCACTGGGGCCAATAGAATGAAGCTGTGGTACCAAAATGAGACTGTCGGTACAATCAGCCAATGAGACGCCTCAAAATACAGAACAAGAACAGGGAGCGAGGCGAGTCTTTCCAGATGTTTGAGTTCTGAGCCTGTTTTCTGTCCCAATTCTCCTTTTTCCCGTTTGAACTGTATTCAGTCATATTCAGGCTAATGGTAAATGATAAAGTATGGATAAAACAAAATTTCTACGGCAAAACATCAAAGGTAAGAAACTTTTATGAACTAGAGTGTTCTGAAACAAAGATTTAGAAAAAGCAAGGCCTTGTCCTCAAAATGGTGGGTGGCCTTTAATGGTACAAAAATTCAGTGTTTGGGTAGACTTGGCTAAAACTACCCTTTGGGGAAGATTTCATTATCAAACGTCTTTCGTCAAACTGGAGTTTGTGGTGTTTTTTATTGTACTTTTCTCTCTTGTGATACCAATCCTGCCAGATTGTTAAAATGAAATTGTCTTCCTACAACAGAAATAATGCGGGGATTTGAATCAAATTTTGCTAAGAACAACATGACAGTGTTGTCGATCTGTAGCTGTTTCATCTTTTGTTGTGTAGTCCTCTTTTCTGTGTGATGTAGTTCTCTCTGGAGACGTTTGTTAAGTGTTACAAATGGCTGGTTATTGTTGCTGACTTAATACTATTGATCGGTCTTCAGGATTAACCAAAGTTCCATTAATGCATTAATGCAGAAGCCAGTGTTATTGCTGATGTGTGCACATCCACATTTATTGCTCTGCGGACCAAAAGTTATTTTTGTACTTTGTTTTAGCAGTAGTAGCATTTAGAAATTATTGTTTGACCTGTATTTTATAATGATTTGTCTTTTGTTCTCTGAAGGAGCTCCAGATCCGACCGCAGGGGCGAGTGTGGATGATGAGAACTGCTGGCATCTGGATGAGGAGCAAGTCCAGGAACAGGTCAAGCTCTTTCTCTCCCAGGGCGGGTACCATGGCTCAGGAAAGCAGCTCAACCTGCTATTCAGCAAGGTGCGAACCACTGATGTCAGACATTTTTCTTTTTTACAGTGTTAGAAAACATGTTTAGGAGTACCACAGGGATGTGTGATTGGAAACTCATGATGTTTTTTCAAAGTTTTTTTTAACTACAAATTATTTGTGCATTCAGCTACTTTGCACCAATCGAGGTGTGCATTATATTTATCATATTTTAACCTTGAAACTTTTCTATGTTGGCGTGAGTCAGCTCGCTCACGCGGCTAAAACGTTTTTATTTCTAATCATCATTTGCTCAAGTCCGGATTTTCTAAGAAAACCCTAATTTCAGAAACAAAGAGTGTTTAGGCTTACTGTTAACCCCAACTCCCCCGTCTCTCCAGGTGAGAGAGATGCTGAAGATGAGGGACTCCAACGGAGCTCGTATGTTAACGCTGATCACGGAGCAGTTCATGGGCGACCCTCGGCTGGCTCTGTGGAGGCAGCAGGGAACCATCATGACTGACAAGTACCGGCAGCTGTGGGATGAATTAGGTACAAAAATAACAGAAAAACATCAAATCACAAACACTGAAGCAGCCAGCTGGGATGTCAGCAAGCAGCCAGACATTTCTGAGAGACTTTTTAACTAATCAGGTAAAAATACAAATCGGCTTTGAACACAACAGTTCACCAAGGTAACAAACCGACACTAATTTGTTGAGAGCCAGAATGATGTATTGGCTTCATGGAAGTGAAATGACTGTATTAACATTGTTGTTCGGGGGGTGGCTTTCTTAGTGAAATGACAACAGATAGTGCTTCTGTGACAGGCTGTTAGTAAAACACTTACATATTAAAAACTTCTCCCTTCTTCATTCTAAAACTCGAACGGACCTGAGCACATTCACCGTCAGCTGCAGAAATATGAAACGGTCTGAGGCCGGTGCTGTGGGCCTTCGGGCCTTGAAGCATTGATCCTCTTCAAAGAAAAATGATGATGCATTAAAAGCTGAGTTAATTGGATAAGAGGCTTCAGGCTCTCACTCGCTTGAGTAGATGTTGTTCATATGTTCAGCCTCTACAGACAAAGTGAGTTTGAAAGTTCTTTATAGATTTGCTTTTATTGATAGATGGAAAAAAAGAAGCGTTTTGAGGTTTTTTGCATCTCATTTTAAGGGGAAAGTTATGCAAAACTCACTTTTGCATTCTTTTGTGCTGCCCCGTGGGTCTCTACTGCCTCTATAAACACTCCAGACATGAATTAGAGATTCTGTCAGATTTCGGTTATAACCTCCTGAGACCTGAACCTGTATTTGATGTGATTTAAAAGAAAGAATACATTTAACTATTGCAGAGTAGTCTACTCTCATGAACGGAAACAAAATTACAAATAGTAAAATAAAATAAAAATGAAATTAACTCATTCACTGCCATTGACGACTAAAGTCGTCATTTTAAATCCAACCGTTCACTACCAATGTCATTAGCATGTTTTTACTGTGTGGGGCCCAATTTTCTAGGGGTGGCCATGGCCACCCCTGGCCACCCCTTGGGGGCGCCCCTACTGTCTCTCTAGTATGCTGTCTTTTTGCAGGACTGTTTCAATTCACAAAGTTTCACATCGTTTCCTCTTGGTTGTCTTTTTACTCTGCATTCCTCTGAATTTCTGTGCTTTTTTACTTTTTCTGTTGGTTCTGATGGACTCTCCAGCAAACAGAGGGGAGACAAACACTCTTTTTTTCCTCCTTTGGTGTACCGTCCTCTTCCCCCACCCAGCTTCTTTATTCTCGCCTCTTTTCCCGTTTCTTCCTGTTTCATTTAGTCACCTGTCATCTTTTATTTGCCCCTGAACACATTCACAGTTCCCCTCCTCCGTTCTGACTCTTGTAGGGCTTTAACATCTGGGTCGGCCCAGTCTAGCCCTGGTAGGTTAAATTAGCTGGTATCTGGGTAATCTGTGCGTTTTCCATGTTTAGCTGACCATTTCTTTTGGACCTACTCTCTGCTGCAGAGGCGAACCAACACACTCACTTCTGACTGATTGGCCAGCTGAAGTTCATGCTTACCTATAGAGGGAGCCTCTGATTGGCGGGTAGAATCAGCCACTAGTGGCTTCCTGCATGCGTGGTTCATATCCGACTGGATGCAGTGAGGAAGGAGGAGCACACAGCAGTCTCAGTGAGACAGTAGGAAGCTGTGTTCTTCATATCAGAGTCTCCAAAAGCGACACTGCTCACAGCCGCCTTTAATGGACCAGGCCCGGTCAGATGAGGAAATTGCTTCATTTTCCTTTATCAGGTTTTTGTCCTGGTTTAGCCCAGCAGTGTGGACAGTCTCACACAAAACTAGCAACGATTAGTTATTTGATGAGTCATCAGAGTGACAGAATTACTTATTTATTCATTATTTAAGCTAAAAACACCAACAGTGCTTTTCTCTATGCAGTTTTCTGTATTTATTTTTGGTTATTTTCTTCAATATTAAGAAATAAACACCACTTTGAATGGATTCCAAAGAGGAAATGCAACAGCATCAGAGTTTCCCGTGTTTTCTGTCATCCTGAGACTCAGACTGGCGTGTGATGTTTGTGGACGTGTCTGTGCAGGCGCCCTGTGGATGTGCATAGTGCTGAATCCTCACTGTAAACCTGAGCAGAAGGCTCTGTGGCTCCTTCAGCTCCGCAGGTGGAGCAACATGGACGTGTGCCCCTTGGAGGATGGTAACCATGGCAGCGAACTGATCAATCTGACTAACGTTCTACCCCGGGGCCCGCTGGGCAACCCAGGTGAGATGACACCCTCCTGAAGCACAAGCATGGTCGCCGTTTTCCTTTTATCTAACATCTTATCTGTTCTCTCTGCCCCGTCCTGCATTAATATGATTCACCGTGCCCCCCCCCCCCCCCCCCCAATCAAGTCTCCCTCCTTCAGTCTCAGTGCCTGCGAGCCTTATTACCTTTTCAGTGAGGCTAATAGAATGAGCCTATTAACACAGTTGAGGTCCTGCAGCTTTTTCAGGTCTTTATTCTTTCATCTAAATCAGAGAAAGAACAAGTTCATGAACATTTCCGTCAAGTAATAATTAAATGTTTCAAGAAATGAAGAGCTATTTTTTACCACTGATCTCTGTTTCTGTAAAAGCTGCTTTTCCTTCTAATGAGGTGGTACAGTTCAACCTAAACAGGTTCTTTCCATTTTAATCCTAATTATTTCATAAATAAAGGTTCTTTATTGGTTCTGGAGAAAATGATTAAGAATT